GTTGGTTTCATGCACAGATTAGGAATATTTCTTGCTAAAAAATACCAGAGGCAAATGCAAGTATCCTTGATGCAAACTCAGAATGATAAGTACAAAAACAATTCAATTCTCTTCAAAGGTCTCGACTTGGTTGAAGAACAAGAGCAGATTACACATCAAGTTTGATTCTAATGACCTGAGGAATGAGGAAGAATACACATCTATCAAGGCTGAGATTCAAGGCAAAGATTCAAGCTGTATTTGAGATCTTTCATCATCTTATTGCTCTCCTCTTGCTTTTTGAAAGTGCTGTATTGCATTCTGTATTCAATTCATCTATTTAGCTAAGGGAAAACATTGCGAGTAACAGGGAACGGTAGACTTGCCTTGCAGATTCACTTCTTAATGGTCTCTTTAAAGATGTATCTAACTGGTGTTAGTCAAACAGTTCCTGCAACAGAATTCAAATATGTTTCAAATCTGTGTGTAGGTTCAAAACCTCCTAAAGATGAAATTCCAAGTGATTGTCAGAGTCAAAATCTGTTTCTCTTGGAATGTGTGAGTTTGAAACCTGCCAATGATAAAATTCATTTTTTTATTAAAACCACACCTTAACATATGCTCATGGTCGGTTTGCTTACAAGCTCATCAGAGTTGTGTTTAGCATGTAGTCGTCCTGACAGAATAGACATCTGTTTCTGTTGGAGTGCAACAGGTTTAAAACCTGTTGAACATCACATATTTTTCATAAGAACATGCCTTGAATATCTGCTCATAGACAGTATCTCAGACATTGATCTTTATCAGCCTTAGTCAAGTTGTCACCAGAGTCAAAATCTGTTTCTCTTGGACTTTGCAACTTAAATCTATACAACACAAAGCCTACTACAACTGCACCCACTGTCTCAGCTTTATATATTATTGTCCATTTCTATATCAGACCACATGGCAATACAATCAATACTTTACAACATGTTTGGTTGCATTGTAGAGACTCACATCTCTATATCCTTATAGAGGTCTATTTTCATATTATTCTAAGCACTTCCATAGTGCAGTGTGACTTGTATGTCATTCAGTGCACCTGGTACTTCAATGCACACTTACTAGCACGAGTACTTTTGTTGTGCATCAGTTTGTGCACCTTTAGCTCAATCACTTGTCCTCTTTCTGTCCATTCCATGCATGTTTTGGTTTGTCAGTGCATATTACCATTCCATTCCCATATATTCTGACAACATCTCTGACACTATGCACAAACATATTGTATCTTTATGTCATGGACACTTACTTACATATTTGCTTTGCTTCTGACTTGCTTCCATGCTCTGAGATCACACTTAGAATTACCTACATAGCACCATGTATTATTTACCTCTTAACAAGTTTCCACCATCATCCTGCAGATCGTCCAACTCAAGTCTAAATTCTGCCATGCTATAACCATTTCTCAACAAATTCTAAGTGTGTTCTCAGTGTGCAGAAGCAAGTCGGAAGTGCAGCAAATAGGCAAAAATATGTAGGTCACTTCTGAATACGTTCATTGGAAGCACATTTAACTGGTCTTAGCCAAGCAGTTGATACAACAGAATCTAAATCTGTTTGCATGGGTTCAAAACCTGCTAAAGATAAATTTGTCAAGTGATTACCAGAGTCAAAACCCATTTCTCTTGGACTGTGCAGGTTTGAAACCTGCCAGTGATCAAATTTATTTTCTATGAAAACATACCTTAAAATTTGCTTGTGGTCGGTTTGCTTGCAAGCTGATCATAGTTGTGTTAAGCCAAGTGGCTGTCATAACAGAATCAAAATCTATTTCCGTCAGAGTGCAACAAGTTTGAAACTTGTCAAATGTTGTATTTTTTTCTCCAAGAACATGTCTTGAATATTTGCTCATAGACAGCATCTCAGACATTGATCTTCATTGATCCAATAACAACATTTTTATTCTATGAAATCCAAAATGGTGGAATGTGATGAATCACAAGTTAATGCAAAGACACATCATTATACAGATTACAAACCTGCTAGTTCAAGAGAAATATATTTTGACTCTGGCAATCACTTGAATAAGCACAATAAAGAATCTCAGCCTCAATATATCTGTATTTTTCCTAATTCCTCAGGTTATTAGGATCAAACTTGAAAGTCTCAATGTATAATCTGCTCTTTTTCTTCTCAAGACCTTTAGAAAGAATTATATTGTTATTATACTCATCCTTCCGAGTTTGCATCAGGACTTTGGTCATACATTGAACTCTGTGTCAAAAATACACTGTGCAATCCTTTTATTGTCAGTTTTCACTCATGGACCCACCATGGTGGCCTTCCATCAGCACTTTTTCAGGGAAATTGTTAGATAAACAGGTCTTGAAGTTAAGAGCCCCAGCAAGAGTCTATGTCTTTTGCAAAAAGAGTAGGATAAAAAATCAACAGTGACCATGCTATTGAAAGAGCTGACAAAATGCAGATAAATGTACCTTGAGAACTTGCTTCTGAATGAATTCATTGGAAGTAAATCTAACTGGTCTTAGCCAAGCAATAGATGCAACAGAATCTAAATCTGTCTGTGTAGGTTCAAAACCCACTAAAGATGAAGTTTTCAAGTGATCACCAGAGTCGAAATCTGTTTCTTTTGAACAGCACAGGTTTGAAACCTGCTTATGATAATATTTTTGTTATATGAAATCACACCCTGACATTTCTTCATGAATCATTTTCTCAAAAACAGTTTTAGCAGTGTCATTGCCACAATAGATTCAAAATCTGATTGTCCTAGACTGAGCAGGTTTGAAACCTATATAATTATATCTTTTTTCATTGAAATATACCTTGAACATTTGCTCATGAATGATTGTTACAACAGAATTGAAGTCTGTTTATCTTGAACTGTGCATGCTTGAGATATGCTGAGTGATACATATTTTTGACCTGCTCAGTTTAGGATAATCAGATTTTGACTTTGATGAATCATGAACTAGAAACAAGGAAGATAAAAGTCTGAGAAACCATCCATGAGCAAATATTCAATTAAGCATGTTGCAACATGAAAAAGAAATGTATCATTCAATTGGGCTCAAGGAGGATGTCAGAAATTGATGGTAGAACTGAAAAAATACAGATAAATGTACCTTAAGGATTCACTTCCAAATAGATTCATTGGTAGTGCATCTGACTGGTCTTAGCCAAGCAGTTGATGGAACAGAATCCAAATCAGTCTGTGTGGGTTCAAAACCTGCTAAAGATGAAATTATCAAGTGATTATCAGAGTCAAAATCTGTTTTTCTTGAACTGTGCAGCCTTGAAACCTACAAATGATAACATTTTTATTTTATAAAAATGCACCTTGGCAGTCTGAAACTCATTGAATGCTGCATTTTTTCTAGCTCAATTGAAAATTTGCTCATGGACAGTTTCTCAGACTTTGATCTTTATGGGTCCTATTTCAGTGGTTATCAAAGTCATAATGCCACCAGAAAATTGAGGCCTTCCAATTCATTTTAAGATTCATGTGGAAATGTGAAGGTGTGATTGCATAGAATAACAATAAAAATGTTATCATTGGTAGATTTCAAACCTGCACAGGTCAAGAGAAACAGATTTTGACTCTAGTAACAACTTGACTAAGACCAATGAAGATCAACATTTGGAATGCTGTCTATGAGCAGATATTGAAGATATGTTCTAATACAAAAAATGTGTCACTTGACAGGTTTCCATTCATAAGTGAATTCTAAAGGCAGTTCTTTCAATAGCATGGAGGATCACATATGATTGGACTTAAGGGGGATGTTAGAAATTAATGTTAGAACTGACAAAATGCAGATAAATGTACATTGAGGATTCACCTGTGAATGGATTCATTAGGAGTACATCTGACTGGTCTTAATCAAGCAGTTGATGTGACAGAATTCAAATCTGTCTGCATGGGTTCAAAACCTGCTAAAGATGAAATTAGGAAGTGATCATCAGAGTCAAAATCTGTTTCTCTTGGACTGTGCAGGTTTGAAACCTGCCAGTGATAGCATTTTTATTTTATGAAATCACACCTTGACATTTTGTTATGAATGATATATGTTTTTCCCTGTTAGAACACACCTTGACATTGACTCATGTGTATTTTCATGTTGTAGCTTGCACAGAAGATTCAACAATACAGCGAGGCACAATGAGGCTCCAGACTGTATTTATAAAAGATGTTGTAAGGTCATGTGTTGCCTAGTCTGCAATATTTGAGACGACAAGTGTGTTTGATCCTAAAGGGGATGCAAGTGCAGCAAGGATCTAGAAGTATGCGCTGAAGGTGCTACTGGTCTGCCAATGTGAAGCGCGAGAAAGTGCAGGTGCGTGCAAGGCGCGCAAAGGTGCAGGAACATGCTGTAGGGATTCATTTCTGGCTGGGCTGGTAGAGACTGTTTTTACCTTACCTTATGTTGGCACTTTTGTAGCTTACATAATCAAGTTATCTTTTCACCAGTATCAGTATGAGTCTAAGTGCTCAGCAAGTTTTCATGATATTTCCTCTCCTCTGAGCCTTGAGCCTGGTCCAGAAACCCTTTAGGGTTGAATAGCAGCTAGGTTCTGCAAGACCCAACATTGTTCAGACTCACCATCTGAATTGTTGTACCTTCAATGCGCATGTATGTAGAATCAAGAGAGACTAAGAGTAAGTTTGCTTAAATGATGATATGATGCAAGACAAGAGATGTGAGTGCGAGGTGAGACAAGAGGAGTGCGAAAACGTAACTTGTGATATACACCTGGTAAAACTTGCACGCGAGTACTACTACTGTGACAGCATGACCGTAACGTTAATTAGACCAAATATGGTAGCTGTTTCGATCGCTTCTTGTAGAGTAAAACAGCGAGAATCTATGTGAATACAAAGCAATAGCGGAGGCGATAGCATCGAACACAATGACATGTAATGAAAGCAAGTGTGCATACGGCAAATGGGCGAATCAGAGCAAACATCAACGGATCAAAAAACACTAGTGAATGTGAAGCAAAGGATGGAACAGTCAATTCAACGAAGTGAGAGCAGTTTGAAGGCGGGAAACAGATGTGCGAGCATGTTTGGAAGGTAAAGACCCTGATGATTCAAGTGCGGGCCGTTTAGCGCCCCGAGAACCTGATGCTTGCATGTTCTCCTTGTCGAGCTCAGACGCAGCAGCAAAGGAAGATTGCCAGCGATCCTTCAGAATGCGCACGACACTCTGTTCGAGATCTGTGAGTTTCATCGCCTTCCAAACAGCCGGAGGTAACATGACACCACCCTCCCTTCGTCCAGGCACGATGTACTCCTTGTGCAGATGTACAACATGGTTGGGCATATTGTAGCGCCACACAGCCTCCACAGCAATCGCCTGCGGCTTTTGTGACGTCTTACCAGGTTCGGGAGGGAGAGCTGGATGGCAGAGATCACATTTTACAGGGATGTTTCTACATGGCTGATTCTTTGAACCTGAGTCCGCGAATCCGTACTTGAATTTGTGCTGGAACATGCACTTTGTGTCCCATGTTGGTGTGCCGTTCACTGGAACCTTGATGGTGATGGTGCACTCGGGTATTCCAGATCTGCCGCAGAAGCCACATGGCATCATGTCGCCAACCTTACATATAATATTAATACAACGAACTGTAACGAAAAAAAACACATACCTGCTCCTTTAGAACGACCTCCTCAGGTACATTGCTTGATGCGCAGAGAATATGTTTGCCAATGTGAGAACACATGTTGGTGACTTTGGCCAGACAGAGGGGGCATGTTTCAACTATCTAGATATGTTTTAAAGTAGTATAAACACCCCCCCTTCAGTCTTCAGCAAATGATTTGGTAAAGTTTTGATGCCGCTATCGAGGAACTCAGAACCTATGTTTTGAAAGTTCAGTGGCTGTATATTTAAGGTTTACAAGCTGACTAATATTGAGCCCTATGTTCGGCATTCTCCTTTTACACTCCTCTTGAGGTGAGATAGATGGATCTCAGAGAATAGATTGCTACTGCGACTTTCTAGGGAAGTGGGTAGTGAGTACTTGGGGGTTATCTCTAATATATTTCCTGTTCATGGTATGTACTGCTGGCACTTAAGTATGGTGCCTAAGCACTATCATGCAGAGCCGAAGTGCTACCGAGTGTTACGAATTCAGATAGAGTCTTCCATAACAGCTTCAATAAAGGAGATCAAGAGTACGGTATCGGGTAATGATGACTAGAGGTAGAACTCTAGCGAAATGATCGAGTAAAGGCTAGTCTCTTTGCAAAGAGCTAGATCAGGAGGCACCCTCAGGTCCTAGTCAAGTATCAGGGAGAACTGAGTAGATTCAAGTTAAGGAAATGTACAAGAGGTAGCTAGGGTTTATATACGTAGAGAGAAGTGCACAGACCAGTCTATGAGGCATTGTAGAAGTACAAGAAAAGGAAGTCAGAGATAAGGGAAGTCCTCATGGTCGACATGAGGCGGACTAGAAGTGAAACGGGAATCAAGAAGATGATACATGGATAGTCCTGCAGGTGTGATAGAAGAGAAAATGATGGGGTCACTGTAACACTGAGTAAGGTATGTAAAGATATATGTAAGTAAGGGTCCATGATAAGAATAAAGGTGATACAATATGCAAATAAGGGCAAATGGAAATATATGCACTAGAGAACTTGGTGGACAGTGGATGGATGTGTCTGGATGGCTGGCACTATAGGGCGCTCAAGTGCACGAAGTCATGCGTGCATTGCACAATGCACGGGAAAGCTGTGCCTCATAGGAATAGCTGCAGGTAGCATACAGAGTGATGCTACAAGTTCGTGCTGTGTACTCCTTGGTGAAAACTGCAATATTGCATAATGAGAGGCATGAGTCTCTACAGCGCTCCCAAACATCTACTTTATATGATGTTTGTGAATGCACTTTTCTGTGTCCAAGAACATCTCTGGGCTTCATATGATGTGGCTCCACATCCTGAGCACAAATGTCTCAAATCATGCTTTAGGGTTGTATAGCTTTCATCCTGCTGCCACGCAGTACAAATGTGCTTTCCATCTTTGATTCATAAGGCTTTGTTGATGCACTCTGAGAAAACTTTGTGCTGTCCAAAAGCACTCACTGCTCAAGAGGGTCAGGAAAGTGATGCCAGTGGTGAGATTGTAGTACTGACCAAAACTGAATGTACATCTGAACACAGACAGATTTCTTCAAAGGTCTTGACTTGGTCGAAGAAGAAGAGCAGATTACACATCAAACTTTCAAGTTTGATTCTAATGACCTGGAGAATGAGGAAGAATACACATCTGTAAAGGCTGGGCTTCAAGGCAAAGATTCAAAAGAGCCATGTGACAACTATTCACTTATAGTCTTGTTGGTGGACACTGAGTAATCAACTTCTCAACTTTAACCAACAGCATTGTCATATCCCACCTTGTAAGATACATAAATAACACGAAACAAACTAAAAACCACACTCAGTGAAGTACCTATACCCTCATAAAATTTGTAAACTGATATTCACATAAGTCAAAAATGTAACACTACCACATAGTAGACCAGCACATACAACCTCCCACTCAACTACTCATCATCAAGAATTCTCACCTCAAAGAAAAACACACATGAGAACACAGGACCTCCTGTCAACCAAGTGCCCCACTCATCCTTCTCCACAGAATTCCTGCACCTTCACATTAGTGGTCGAGCTTGTGTTAGCACATACACACACACAAAAAGTTACATACACACATGTACACAAAGTCATCTCATCTTCAAAGAAAGTCACATCTAAAATGGCCAGGGGGAACAGCAGACTGATGTGGGTATACTCCATACCAGGGCATTTGTGACTCCAGAGATGCAACAGGGACACAGGGGGTCCCATTAGACTAGCACATACTGTCCTACATAGAGTTTATCTCTCAATGGACATAAAAAAAACTTCTCAACTTTGTTGCTGGCACCTGCACTGGCAGGATCACTGCAGGTTCAAATGAAGAAGATGAGTGAGAGTTTGGGTTTTCATATAATGGTTGTAATCAATTGAATAAGTTCTTGTAGATTCTGTCTAAATTTGTGTCATCTGACAGGAACAACAATTCTGCCAAAACAATCAGAATCATACCCATGCAATATAAAAGCTGGCCATTGTCCTATAGTAGTCCCCCATCCTTAGTGATATCATTTGAGGACCCCCTCAGAAGATTCCATATCACCTCACACAGAAAATGTGTTTCTCCCTCCTCACTGTTGTCAGCACTTTGACAGCATCCATGTCTGTCAATGCAGCAACTCCATGTGTACCTGGTAATAATCCTGAAGCAACTTGCCATGTAAGTAGCAAACACTGTGATGGCTATAGTTGTGTCTATTGTGACATGAGTATGAGCAGGTTGTTGTGTGACCAGTATTCAACCACATGACTCACCTGTGCACCTTAGGGTTCAGAAACAGTCAAAATCTGCCAATATTAGCCAAATGAGAATTGAGCTGATAGATGGGCATGTTGCGACGGTGAGTTATGTCTCTGCTTTTGCTTTGGTATTATGGTTGATGGTGCAATACCTAGTTTGGAGCCAATCAGTACAGTTCCTCTTGGAGAAATTTTTGTACTGCTCAAGCATTGTGGATGTTTGAATTTATCTGAAAATGATTGACTGTGCCCAGTCTTACTCATAGCCCACTAAGCTCAAGTTTGAGAGGCTGTCGAAACAACCTCTCATTGCTGTTGGTGTTATCATGAAAGCAAAAAAGAGGTGACAAAAATAAAGATAAAGGAGATTAAACATATTACTACCTGTGCGGTACTTGACACCAAAAGGTAGTGTGGGAGCTTGAGAGTAGAATTAGTAGATCTCTTCATCAAGCAATTGTTGGATGGGGTACAAAGGACGGTTGACAGGAAAGAGGGACTTGGAAGAGTGTTTGTTGATAGTCACTGACTTCGTTGACATCTCTGAGGAAGTACAGGGTTGTCAGGATAATATGCCAGGGCCAGGTGAAATTGATGCGATACTGTGGCAAATTCTAGGGTGTTTTCTCAAAACACTCTAAGTCCTCGACATATGAGTGTCTGAATCTGTGTACAGGCCCTAGAGTGCACCACATTTCAAGTGCCTGTCCTCTGTCTCTGTCCTACTGGCGTGCATCTTGCATTCTTCTTGCATGCCTCTAATTCATTGAGTTTTCATCAGACCGTAGTCTCCTTCCACCATCTATTAATACCTCGTACCTTCTATAATACCTCCTGAATACCTTCCATATGTCTCGACCTGCGCCACCCTCCCACACCTCTCCTCATACACATCACCTTCCAGACTTGGCTTAGAAGATTCGCTTCAGGCTGATCCAATCAAGGCAAGGCCCCTGGACGAATTTCCCTTTCTACTTGAATTCATGCTGAAATACTTACTTCAGCCAGTCGGATATCATACCTCAATATTCAATATTGCTTCGGTGATGCAAGCGCTGGATGGCAGCATACCAATTAGATGATCTATGGATTAGTTTGTCCAAATAGTCGACTTGAAAGAAGACTTACCCTTGACTTACCCTGCTTTTCTTGTGTTGCAGTACGTGCATGCGCTATATATGAGGGCTTTGGTCGTCATTCGCGACGGGTTGAGTCGTGCAAGAGCACCAGTGTTTCACAGGATTTACGATAATAAGGCACGGCATGCTGCAACACTACCAATATTGATGTCTTTGTCGAGAACTGCAATGAACGCATCAAATCTTGCTGAACGAACACGCTGACATTGCAGACGAAAAGAGGAATGACGTTATCCGTACGAATGCGAGACGCAGAATGTAGAACGAGATACAACGGTTGTCGCAGCATACATCACGACGGTGGTAGTACGCGTGTTGATAATATCATGATGTAGACAGTATCGATCTCCAAACTACACCGCTGACCAAGGGTGGCTGACGAGCTCCTGCACTGATAACAAGGCGTGATAGCGCACATCTGGGTCTGGATGGGTCATGAGCTCCATTGCGCGGGCTTTGCCTCCCAAATCTGTAATTATTCTGCGGAAACAATTAGACCGATGCAACGTTCAGGGTCGTAAAACCTTGCTTACCTCTTTCCTCGTTCATAATGCTTAACATACTGTCCAAGATCGTGAACTGCAACCGCCAGGACTACGGGGTCGTCGGAGCCTAGTAGTCCGATGAGGGTCCTGGAGTAAGGATTAGTAATCGAGCAATTAATATGTCAGTCTGCCATTACTTCAATTGCTCATAGTCTCTATCGTTCAATCTCGATGCATTTTCCCGCCAGAAAGCATCCGACTCGTGTACTGGTGTCCACGACAGATGGCCAGATGCCAGCTCAGACATATATTCATCATACGTCCTGCATCCCATCAGTCAGTGAGAAGTTGAAGCAGTATCAGCATACTCACGTCAAGCTTTCAAAGTTGCGTTCTAGCTCATCTCTGACGTACTGTACGTCCTCCAAAATGTCCTCGTCAGACCATTTGCGGGTTGAAAGGTTCTTGGAGAATGGAAGAAGCTGCGCGACAAGCATAGCCGGAAGATTGTCGGAAGGCGCCTTCGTAATCAAATTCTTCGAGAACATCAGCATCGACCATGCCCGAAGAGAGAAAACATGCGCTTACACTGAAAGTGGCAATAATAACACGAATGACTTTCTCTTTCACGGCAGCCTGTGCCACTGTGATCAACAGGGGTATGATGTCGTATTTCCTTCAAAACTTTGAGATAGTTCCATGATGACGCAGCTCGAACCCTCACTTGTTAATCTGTTCGGCGACATCTTGCTCGAATGAAAGTAACCAGATGCAGAATATCACTTGGTAGCTCATCTGAGGGCCAGGCTTATGGCGAAGGATTTCGACGAACCTGTTCGATCAGGTAAGGCGTAAACTGATGAGCGATGCTATAAGTGCTCACCCTGCTAATATTCCAGGGATTTCCCATACTGCCCTACGGCATTCTGGACGAGCGAGAAGAGACTCTAAGCACTGAACCGCAACGTCACGTTTGTTTTGTGACTGGCTCTGCACGAGCGATGAAAGGACCTTGAGGAATGGCTGGAGGTGCTGGTGCTGAAGAGGAGTTGATTCCGAGCTGAGCAGACACAGCGTCAATAATGAACTGGAGGAAGGCAGACCACGCGCACCTCAGCAGCACGGTCAGTATTTGGGCAGATTTGAGTTGTACGAAGTCATCTTGAGCTTCCAGGGTCCTTACATAGGGCTGTTGGTTTTACAATCAAGTAAGAGCCACCGAAAACGCGTACCTGAGGAGAGGGGCATAAGGGAGGTCGGGATCAGATTGAGCGGCTCTCGCGAAGAGCGGTATACGCTCGTCATGATCTACAAACATAGGCGTCATGTATTTCTTCACAAAACATTGGTAATGAAACATACCTAGGAGTGCATCAGCAATTAAGACCAGGAGGCATTGCATGGTATCAACCCTTTGCAGCTTCTTGAGAAGCCGAAGGTATAATAGGGCATATGTTTGGCCATCTGACAGATGGATAGACTCAACCTTTGCCCTGGGCTGTCTGTCCACCTTCTTGATGAGAGCCAGCTCCTCTGAGGTCACCAGTTCGGCACGTTGATATCCCTGAGTCCGGGATAAGTGTCATGCGCTGATGAAATCTAGTTGACGGACCTCCCATGGAACAGGCTTTGACTTTATCTTTGCGGAAATATCGTCTAGATGTGCATTCGAAACCAGGGAGAGGGACATTGTTGTCCAACACAAGCTTGTCGAGATTCTAATAGTCCATCTCGTCTGCTTGACCACCTTTAGTCCATTTCACACGCCCACGGAGGGTCACAACCCCCCTTGACTCTCACTTCAATTAAATTCCGGGTCAGTCTCTCTTGTGTCTAGGTGATGTTCTCGAGAACAGTGTTATCGTCGTGCAAACGCGCACCCCAAGGTGCGTGACACCCTTATAATCCTTCTAAGATCTTTTGTAACATTTTTTGCAGCATGTCTCTTTCGCAGACTCGCGACCGAAGCCTCTGCAGCACATGAGGTCGCGCAAGTAGATGCTGCACTGTCAAAGAAGACTGCACGGCCCAAGGTACACACTGGAATTATTCTGAACCGGTCCCCCATAATAACCCGAACACCAACGGCCTTCGAGAAAGCTTACTACGCATACCAAACCCGCATCCACCGCGCGCTGCACAACCCATTTCCTTACGATTTTTATTTTAAACAGGGTTCACCTCTAGAGTCGCGATTCAACATAGAAGAGCGAAGACGCGAGCGCAAGGCGTTTGGTGCACCTTTTGGTAGTGCAGACTGGGGAGACGAGCGAGGCTGAAAAGCTTGCCGAGGCTACTATGCGTGACGAAGAAGAGGCCATGCCGCGTGTCCATGAAGCCGACATTAACTCGGACTTCAAAAACTTGAATAGACGCGGTCAGCGAAACCTATATCTATTGCTACAAAAGCAGGAGAATGGGACGGCCGTTTGGAAGTTCCCTCAGGGCATTGTGGACAGGGGAGAGCTTTTGCACCATGTCAGTAAATTGATCCCTCTCTGGTTTGCTTGTCCTTATATTCTCCAATCAGGCGGCGACCCGTGGACTTGAGGTCGAGTGTGGAAACAACATGGATACTTGGATAGTCAGTCGCAATCCAATAGGCGTCTTCCACCCTCCATCACCAGCCAGTACAGGTGGCGCTGAGGAGGTTTGCCCTACTTCCTACGTTCTGCATCTCGTACTGACAGGTCTGCAGGATGTGGTCTTCTTCTATAAAGCACATATCATGGCTGGTCAAGTCCGCCCAAACCGAACGCATACACAAGACTTCGCTTGGTTAACCAAGGGTGAGATCAAGACCCGGGTGGATGAGGACTACTGGTTAGGCATCAAAGATATATTGTCGGATTTTTAATGTATGGTCTCTATATTGTTCTACTCATCGATATATCATCCGTTGCTCTACTGCACCTACTTAGGGGCAGAGATAGCCCGACGCATATCTGGTCGCTTTTGTGCATCATCGAATCTGCGCACCACCACATCGCACTTTGTACTCTTGCATATGTGCTTGGAGTTTGCCTTTACGTCATCTGAGAATAGATTGAGGCCAGCAGCACGTTCTACAACATCAACTAAGTGCAGCGCATCAGTCATACGCCCAATATTGAAGGGCTTGCGCGCATACCTGGTATAACGAAACTCTCCAGAGGTGCATCGTCAGGAATAATGGCATTCGGGAGCACAAACGCGCCCGTCGAAATCTCTAGCGTGTCCGGTGCTGAAGGTGACAAAGGTCTCGAGGCCAGCACAACTTTGGCAAAATGAGTCGGGACCGCAACGTTTGGCGGAGATCCAATAACTTCATACGTCTGCAAAAACGTGAATCATGACGATAAATAGCGTCCTTGAGAGCCTAGACTGACCACGCGGAATTTACCGTCTGCGTCTTTTCGGGGGAGATACAGCGGGACAGTAAAGACGTAGACATCAGAGAAAGACCCTGTAAGGCGTCTACACCAGTCTTCCAAGTACGCCCAATCTACAAAGCAAAATTCAGCTGGAGACGTCTCCTATATCGCCTACTTACAATGCCGGTTGAAGCCAGCGCCGACCTGAGGCGCGATATTCGACAGTAAGAACGTCTCATTCATAGCCTCCTGAGAGAGCTTGGCGTCTGCAGCAGGAACCCTTCGGACTCGTCAAAATCTGCCTCCTCAAAAAAGCTCGACGTACGCACATATGACCACGATCATACCCGCTTCGAAAGTAATCCTGCAGCTTTGCGCGGAACATCGCTGGGAGAGACTCATCCTCCACGAACGTCGAGTTTGAGCGGTCGGGTGACCCATCCCCTGAGGGACGCTGCTGATTGGATTTGCCAAGAGATGCAAGAGTAAGATGCTCTGCAGTCTATGAACGCAGTGTTAGTCAATAACTGTTGAAGTGTAGAAAAATAACTCACCCATGCAGGATGCCTGAGTCTCCGGTCATACGCAGCAGTGTACGCTTTACGAACCAAGAGGTCCGGTACAGGACCTATTCAAACCCAAGTTCAAGCGAAAGAAACAAAACCATCATTGTACAACACACAAATCACCTGGGTGACCATATTTTAAGACTGGGGATGACAGTGCAGAGACTGTAACAGCATTCGAGAGTTTCGCGCCACCACTCTGGCCCATTTCGATTATTGGAGGAGCGACGGACGTGTTGACTGAGGTGGTTATAGGGATTTGCCTCTTCGTGGAGGCTACCGCGGTGACCACACCCCCTCCTACTATTGCACCGACCGCGAAGCACGCGGCGTGGATGACAGCTGCGCTCGGCATTTTGTGAATGGACCAAAACACTAGTTTTGTAGAAGTTGAAGTGGATGTGGAAAGGTTATGGACGTGTCTCAGTCCTAGGACCTAAGGCCTGACTCAGATCACTGCTGAGTTTGTTGGGCAAAACAAATAACTGACCCAATGAGAACTCAAGACTTATGATGCATCAAGCAGCATATATTTACAAAGTGAATCAGGCCTATGATATGTATAAAATGGTCGCAGCAAGAGAATCCAGAGAGGAAAGCAGAGGTGTAAAGAGAGCGATCCGGACAACGAAAGTACAAGGAAATTACGAGTAGGGAAAGTCGACTTTTGAGAGATGGAGGATAAGAGTGATTGCTTTGATGCTGCGGTATACAAAAAAATCTTCAGAACCAGGAAACCATAACAGCGAAAAGAACCAGCAAGCAATCAAGCTACGCGGAAAAGATAGTCTAACCCGGGTTGTGGGACACTCAAAAGCATTAATGAAGAGAAAAGCCTGCGGGTGTCTGTGGTGACTCTGGTGAGATCTATATCTCCAGCGGCTCGTGAGATCTGGCTTCTAGTCCGTTGCCACGTGCTTGGTCACTGTTCGTTCCGCGACGCAGACCAAATCCACCCACGCCAGGGCCTCGTGGTTGTCTGACAACACTACTACTATCATTAAAGCTACCGCCATTAATATTCATTCCAGCAACGCTAGATGGCAGGCTGGGAACGGGCGGGATGGCAGAACTACCAAAATTGCTGCCAAAGAGCGAACCGAAACCACCAGGAGAGCGACGAGAAGGGGAAGCAATCGTTGCATAACCTTCCCTGATATTACCATTTGACGCACGAGTGGCCAAGCGGGGTGCTTGTGTGTGCAAGGTTTTCATGTCGGGCATCGACTTCTTCATGCGTAAAGAGCTTGCAATCTGCGATTGTGAGGAAGTTGCAGAGAGATATGCAGATGGGGCACGCGACAGGGTCGCAGCCTGAGCCCGTTGAGTCTGATGATTCCATAGTCAGGAACCGACTAAAGCCTTGGCATGTAGGGAAGTACTCACCCTGTTAGGATCGATGCGAGTTACGACGGCGTACCTTTCATCGCCTTCTCCAACCGAATAGTGATACACACCCAACTTCTGGGCAATCAGGTGAACGACCCTTCTCTGCTTGGGTGAAAGCGTCCTCGAAAACGCGAGTTCATCCCTCATTCTGTCGTCCTTGAAAAGTAAGATGCGAGAATAAATTTCCAGAGTAGAAGGATCGTTTAGATCCAGTTCATTAGGGGACGAAGACTTCTCTGATGGATTTGGTGTCGCGGGGGCAATTGGAGGGGATGTGGCGGGGTTAAATGGCTGAGAGATTGGAAGATGAGGCATGGGCGGAGGTGAGTACTGTTGTTGTTGATAGGCACCAGAAGAGAAGGATCGCTGCGGGGTGAAAGCGGGGGCTGTGACGGGACCAAAATCATCGTATGCTTGGTGAACTGCCTGTTGTTGCTCCTTTTCGAGTTGCATGGAACGCATTCGCCTAATAGCCTTTTCTCTTTCAATACGCTCTTTTTCTCCGGCTTGAAGAACTTTCTTATACTCGACACGAAGTTTACGGCCTTGAACATCAAATCCATTCAAAGCAGCCACGACTGCGTCAGCGTCTGCTGCTTGTCGGAAATTAGCAAAAGCGAGACCACGAAAAGAGCCTTGTTGATCCAGGTGGTAGTTGAACGCGTAGGGAGTAGGAATAGACAAAGAAGCCTAAAATAGAGACATTAGTCGGACCTCATGGTGGAAATCATAACGAACTCACAATAATATCTAGGAGAGTCTCGCGCTTGACGTTGAAAGGAATGTTCTTGACGACGATGGCGGTTGGTATAACCTCATCTTCAGCATTTTGGTTAGGTGTCGAAGGAGCAAGAGCAGATGCTTGTAGATGACCTAAAGGGGGAGAACTACCGGAGGAAGAGAAATCCGAGTTGTTGTGAGGGGATAGAGGGCGATTATCAGGAATGACCATTGAGTTATCAAGCCATTGCTAAAGAATGATTTTAATATTAGGATGTTTTGAAAAGAAAATGACTTACGGTGGGAAGACCAGCACGGGTGGGCTTCATCTTCAGAGGAGATGGTGTCATACCGCCTAGAGGATTAAACTGGCCTGAAAGTTGCTGGTTTGCGCTGAACTGATACTGTTGCCTGTTGTCATAATCGTAATTGTCATGGAGGCGAGGATTGAGAGATAAAGAGCCGATGTCAGGCGTTGGAGAGCTTGTCATGATGGTCAAAAGAAAAGAACAAGATTGACCGTAGGTTCTGGGCTAGTCTTCAACTTGATAAACCAGTCGTAACGGCAGTTCGAGAGAGAAAAAAACAAGGCGAACAGACAAAAAGCGTATAAGAAACTCAAGGATGATGAACGCCGAAAATAAGGCTCGTGGCCAAACCAGAACACACCTGTGACACGCCACCCTGATTTCCATGTCACCACACGTTCTTAAGCTCTAGTCTATTCAAAATACTCAAAGCCACACAAGACGGTTAAGGCTATACTATGGACACGAAAATCACGGACTGGCAACGTTACAAGTCAATCCCAACAGCCCATCTGAATCAAACAAGAACCAGAAGCAAAAGAATGACGAACCGGCACGGTCGTAACATGTGCATACTTCTCTCGCTTATTAGTCGTCAACTTTCAACACCAAAAACATCAATGAATTTACATTGAAAGGTCGGAGCCGCACTCAAGGACATCAGATGAAACTGGTTGACTTGGCATATAAAAAGCGCTGTGCGTGACCATGCGCTCTGATCCTTCAGTGACACTGCACCTGATCCGACCGAACCAATCATGATTCAGAAGCCGAAATGATCATCAGCACGAACGCTGTCGGTATCAATCTAGGATATGACATTCGAGGGAATCATAGTCCAGTTGTTCTCAGCAACAGACATAGCCTTGAATGAGCTGCCTGCACTTTCCCAGGACGTCAACGAGTCCGGGAGGATCGTCAGCCTGGGGAATGTCAACAAAGAATCACCCACACATGGGCGAGACATACTTACCATTAATATTACAAGGTAGGACCACTTTAGACGCTTTGGCAACCGCAGTAAAGACAGCTGATGCTACCACATGACACCTCGAGGGCAAGGGCATGCCGGAACACGAATGCAGGCGGACGGTGGGAGAGCCCAGAGATAGTTCTGAGGACGCGAAGTACCATTTTACATAAGGGACTTGCAGATCTCCCACATTCACCCGACCGAATACCATGAAACTATGTAGATCAACTGAGGTTCGAAGGGATCTGCACCAAGATGTACACAAAATATGCATCGAGCATCTTTGCATTACACACATACCTCATATATAAAATACCTTGAGCACCAGTCTCGTAAAAACAAGAAAATGCCACTCAGCCCAGCTGAGAAACCCTAATGATACAACTCTTCCACTTGAACAGCCCCAAGCTATAGACAGAGTGCTGCGGGCTTTGGAAATGCGATCAGACTATCAATGTCCACTTGCACGCTAATGCCGCTTGAATGATTCCAAGCGCCACGAATGCGGTGCTCCGTCGGTGAGGATGATATTGGAGTGGACGAGGAGGATCTGTAGGTATTTGCGATCTCTATATCCAGTGGTGGCAGGTCTGACAGTGTGGGCCGCATTGAATCTGAGCGGTGTATGCGAGATTGGGGAATAGGTCCATGGGGAAGGGGTTGGAAAGCGGGGCAAGGAAGGGAAGGGAGTGTGTGTTTTGGAGCAGCGCGTGGTGGGAGAGGTCCCTGCACGAGACGGAGAGCAGAAGGAGGTGCGCGACGAGGGCCTCGGGGCATGGTTACAAGTGAAATGAACTTTTACAGTCGATCTATAGTCAATTTGGTGATTTCAGTCGTCAAGGATTAAGCAAGAAAAAGAGTAGTAAGCACTAACCAAGTGAACGTCTTTTATATACTGATAACAACGAGACAAACCACAAACACAAGGAGAGGACAAAAGAATGACACGTAATTTCGACAAGACCAGCAAAATCGAAATATCCACAGAAGGAATTGAACTTATGTGGTTCAAATCGGGTTCAGAGGGACAATGGCTGTGTCACACAGCAGAGAGCTGGCATTAATTAAGCTTCACACTGACTACTGAAATGTGAAAGCTTATCCCCATTGGATCATAATAGCAAAGGATGGGATATATTACTATCGACAAGGGCAACACATCACCGTATCTGCAAATGTGCGAGTCCGAAAACACTACGATCGACATATGTAATAACAAAAGAGCCAGCAACCCTGACACACCAAAGCGACACAATAGCGTCATGTACAGGTCTCAATTGGGCGGTAGTGCTTCAGCAGTTGAGCTTTGAAGGCTATAAGAGGAATAATGAGAAAATGTATGCTCGTACATAAAAATTTACTGACCGTCAGGCTGATTCCATAGCCCTGCAGCGTCACCATTAAGCGGAGAAGCATTGTTGGGTTCTGTAAACGGTAAGTGAAAAAAACATACACTGCCAGTCTCACGACTAACCCCCTAGCAATGATTGCAACGATAATAATACAGTTTGCACACTATACACGGCAGACCATTTGTCCTGGAAAGGTTCTAAATACTAAGCATCATTAGCAGGAAAATGTGGCAAACCTGCAAGATATCAAGACAGATCGCGCCTCCTGCAATGTCAACGTTGGGGTGATAACAGGGCGTGTCAAACTTGATCGTAGGTGGTGAGTATGGGTAATTGCTGGGAAATGAGATAGAGATTCGGAACGATAGTCCGGCATAAATCTAGCACGATATTCAGTATTGAATGTTAGTGGTTGCATGAGCACGCCACGTACAGTCCCCGCCGCGCCTTCTATCGTTCCCACCCATTCAAACAGATTTGCATCACTTTTGGGAAAGGCAGACTAAGCGATACATGAGACGGAAGCACGAAGAGCACTCGATGATCACTCACGATACCAGGAGATGATGACATCTAGCAAGTGTTGAGAATTCAATGAAAGGCATAACCAGACCAAATCACTCACCATCAAAGTCATGAGTTCGTTGGTCAACCTGCAGAGTGATAGTGGGTATTGATATTAACCCGACATGTGGCAACATACTCACCGTTTTGTCACACTACCAGGACCATCAGGTGCTGAGCCAGAGACGGCAGTTTTATGAGAGGTTCTGGAGGGAGCGAGTGCAGAAGTAATCTGGTCCATAAGGTCTAAGCTTGCAGATGTAATGGCGGTCAAGAGAGATGTGCTAATGCAAGATAAGAACCACAACTTGCCAGTTCAAGTAGGTTCGAGTACAGTGGACGCGCTCAGTCACGTGCTGTCATTATCGAAATTTACACAGGTCCAACGGAAACAATAACAAACAAATAAAGACCTATTCTGAGTTCAAATTAAAATGGGAAGATCCGTCGGCAAGAACGGCTGTGGCCCAAAAGCGTCTCCTGCTCACCGTAAGCAATTGCGTAGTTCTGTAACTTATACTTCCAACGTCGTCGACTGCCCACACGATGTCGAGCAATTTTGCGCCGACGCCCGCAGAGCTTGCACTCGTGAATCAGATATTTACTCAGGCAGATACCCAGAAAATCGGAATCCTCACTGGTGACGTCGCCGTAAAGGTCTTCCAGGGTGCAAAACTAGCACCGACCGTCTTGGGCGAGATTTGGAGTATTGCTGACGATGATAACAATGGATTTTTGACCAAGAAGGGTGTCTCAATTGCAGTTCGTCTCATGGGTCATGCTCAGAAAGGCCAGAAAATCGATAAGTCTCTCGTGAACAAACGTGAGTTTCACTACTCTTTCACCCTGACACATTACTGATATTGGGCCCTTAGCCGGACCATTAGCCAATATTGAGGGCGTGCAGATGCCTTTGATTCCGCAAGGCACCGGTGCATCAATATCCAAATCACCACCTCCCAGTTTGCCTCCATTGACTCCTCAAGACAGGGCCAAATTTACACGGATATTTCAGGGGTGTGGGCCCGTCAATGGCCTCCTTAATGGTATGTCAGCTCATTTGCACGTAGTAAGGGTTAATTGTCCTCCTCCTTTGAAGGCGACAAAGCACGTGATGTATTCTTCAAATCCAAACTCTCTGTGGATAAACTATCTCAAATATGGTGCGTAAAGTACTTCGGAATTCGGCCAGTCTCATACTGCCACAGGACGTTATGCGACACACAAGACCGAGGCGTACTCGACATAACTGACTTTACCATAGCCATGTACCTAATTCAAGCCTGCATGGCTGGTCAACTCTTGTCTATTCCGAGTTCCATTCCGTCAAGCTTATTCGAGCAGGCTGGGGCGGTTTCTGTTCACGCGACCGGTGGTAGTGCAAATTTCAGCAGCCCAGGTTTTCCACCAGTACCGAGGCATAATGCTGTGCAGCCGCAGCTTACGGGGCAGGCGTCTCCGGCTCCTCCTCTTCCAAACAGACGCCTAGCGTCCAACAGGCTTGCACCAACTATACCCCCCTTCCCTGGTGTTACCCAATGGGATGTTACCGCGGCTGAGAAGGCCAGTGCAGACCGCTTCTTTGATACGTTGGATTCGCAGCACAGAGGATACATTGAAGGTGATGTTGCAGTACCATTCATGCTCCAATCCAAGTTACCGGAAGACGTCTTGGCCCAAGTCTGGTCTGTAATCATCAAATGTCTATCTTCGGGCATTGTTGTTTCTCACTTTGGGTTTGCAGGGATCTTGCGGATATCAACAATGACGGCCGTCTGACTCGTGACGGATTCGCAGTCGCGATGCACCTCATTCAGGGCAGCCTCTCAGGCAAGGATGTCCCTAGTACGTTACCTCCGACCCTTGTACCTCCATCGATGCGAGGAGGACAAGTGCCGTTTGTTTCTGCACCGGCACCTTCCAATCCGGAACCCGTGCGGGATCTCCTTTGGGACGATTCACCTCCGCCGTCGGCGACCACCTCGCATCCTCCGACAAGCATCTTGCAACCTCAAACCACGGGTACCCCGCTCTCTCCGCGGTCTTTTCCTCGTCCCACACCGCTCTCACAGGATCCCTTTGGCTCCTCTCCAGCTACATCTCGTACGTCGCTCAGCGCCATCTTCTGAGAAGATACTGATACTCTGAACAACAGCGTCGAACAAAAATTTCCTTGATGACGACGATACACATACGCCGCCCATTTTGCACGACCAGTCTGTAGAAATTGGGAACGCGCAGAATCAACTCAATTCCACGCAGAGATCTCTGCAGACCGCAAAGGCTGAGCGAGAGGCTCTCGAGAGTACGCTTGCCAATCAGGCTGCGCAGCTTTCAGCTCTTCAGACTCAGCTTGCTGCTGCCAAAGCATCTTACGAAACAGAGACCTCCCTCCTGAATACACTCCGTGATCGCCACGCAGCTCAGAATACTGATATTCAGAGAACTAGGGAAGAACTCATTAGGGATGAGAGCGATCTCAGCGCTGTCCGAGTAGAGAAAGCAGAAATTGAAGGGTCTTTCTTGCGCGACAAGGAGGAGGTTCGAGAATTGAACAGGCGGATGGCAGAGGTTACGGCGCAAATTGCTGTTGTAAAGCAGGACGTCGAGAAGGCGAAGAAGGACGCAAAACATCAGAAGGGTCTTCTTGCTATTGCTAAAAAGCAATTGGTAGCAAAGGAGTCGGAGAAGATCAGGGTGGACAAGGAGTTAGAGGAGGCACAGCAAGATCTCACTGACACTATTACGGAGAGAGAGAAGGCCGAGGCCGAGGCTGAGAAGATTGTGCTTACGCCTTTGCAAGCAGGGTTGGAACGCTCTAAGTCACCGGATTCGGTTGCTTTCGCGGCTGCTCATCCTTTGCCAGTGACCCCTGATATCACGGGCGCCGCTATGAGCCCGATCAGTGTCAAGAGTAATAACCCATTCGAGAGGTTGGCATTGTCCTCAGGAGCATCGACTCCACGATCTCAGTCGCCGTTCCTGTCTTTCCCCAATGCTTCTTATCCTGCTCCCCCTGGCCTGTCATCACCACCCGGTCTCTATTTCCCGGCTACAATCCAATCAGACGTGTTTTCGCAGGCATCCGACACTGAACCTGTGCTACAGACCGATAATGCGCCTGATACAGATAGCTCTGAATTTGTCGTCGTGACCCCTCGCGTGAAGGACGGTCCCTATTTTTCTGATGGTGTCGTATCGTCACCAACGAGCGATGAACACTTCACCACCCCTCCAACCAGTATCACACCAGTCAATCCTAATTCCAGCGCAAACAATTCGTCTCTCGATAGTGCTGCCGCACACTTCCCCGCTATCGATGATTTCAATATACAGCACCCCGCATCGGAGGAGGGGGAGAAGGAAACAGACCTGTCTACGGACCTTCAAGAGTTGGAGGTCAATGACACTGAGAGTGAAAGCGAGGACAGCCACGAGTCGGAAGCTGTCGACCACTTGACAGACTCTGCCAAGGAGGTTTCTCCCTCAGAACCGGTATCCTCACAGGCGCCGACCTCTTTTGATGACATCTTTGGAGTCGACACTGATGTTCCCGAGCGGGTCCCTGCTTCCAGCAGTGAACCTCAGTCAGACACAGCCGCGCCCTCGCAGAATGGCACGTCTTTAGTAGATGCCTTGGGTGCTCCTTTCTCAGAGCTTGAAACCACTCCGTCACAGCTCTTTCAACCATCTGAGACAAGCGGTTTGAATAGTTTTGACGAGGCTCTCGGCAAGATCTCAAATGGCGGTTCCACGCAGCCCACCTCTGCCTTCTCCTTCGACTCCAACTTTGAGGATAACTTTGATTTTGGGACAGCGATGGCATCATCATCTTCTACATTCCCACTACCCCCCTCCGGATCTACCCCTGCAAATGGCATCTCCGCAACGAGCTCGAACGTGGCTACGCATGCGAATGAGGTACCTGATTCGTTCACCCAGCCTGCGAGCAATGGGATATCAGCCACTCCAAACGTGTCTATGACACAGCCGGCAGCCCCGGTCTCATTTGATGAAGTCTTCTCATCGGGTCCCTGGGATGCTTCAAGCACCGCACCTCAGCCTGAGAAGGCAGGATCAAAACAGGCAGACGCGGGAGTCATAAGCTTTCAAGATGCATTTGGAGGTGTTGATTCCTCTCAAGCCCTGGCACTAGATAATTTGTTCCCTTCGAAGACTTCAAAGGCATTCGCATCCTCTGCGTCACCACCTTCGTCCGAGGGTAGCAAGCCTTTCCCGAATATTTCCCCTCCTGTATCACCGCGAGGACCATCTTCTCCCCGCGTTACGTCGATACGGTCTACTTCCCCTCCGCGACGTGCCACATCGCCACCGCCTCGAGCTGTTTCTCCGAAGTTGCAGCGGCCGTCAAGCTCTTCAACCAAGGAACCCGGTCACGATAAGCCTCCGCCACCCCCGCGGCACTCTAAGCTCAGTGTATGTACTATATTTACTTTCCATGGTACATTACTAATACTAATCTCATAGATTCGCCTTCCGTTTGGTAAGAAAAAGAAGCAGGATTCAGTACCACCCATTCCTCCATCGAGTCTGTCACAGAATGTGACTGTTACGCAGGAGGCGAGGGTGACGCCTGGGGTTGAAGACGACGTGGAACCTGTGAAGCAGCTGTCTGCTATGGGGTTCAGTCGAACGCAAGCTGTTGAGGCGCTGGAAGCATACGATTATGACGTACAAAGAGCATTGAATAAACTACTGGGAGCGCAATAGGGACGGAGGGTCGATCTTATTGTTTGATCTTTCGTTTGTAATATTTCACTTGTCCTCTACATGCACATTCCTTACTACTCATTCCATCTCGTCATCCGAATCATAAGGAACAATGACATTCCTTTATACCGCTTTCTTAGGGTTTTACTCTGTTTGACGGGTCAGCCTTGTCATTGGCCTCGAGTGACCCTGTCTTGTATTCCCACTCGGATTCAGTGGATGTGTGCAATTGTTGTTTCATTGGGACAATGCATGATACTGCGGAGAACTGCCACTTGGTCATTAACAGGGGCAGTCCGAGTCTTAAAGTTGACAATGTTGAAACTTGGGTTGATTAGCCGAACCTTGGTGCCTTAAATACACGCACTAGTGCTGCCGTGACCGGGGAAACTGAAGGGAAACTATGCAAGCTTCAAACTTGACTGTCAAAAATTTTAGCGGGCCTATATAATCATCTTCTGCTCTAACCGCTATGCAGAAAGAACTTGCCATGGCCGCATTCGATATGCTTGTGGTGGGCTCCGGTGGCGGTCCCGATGAATCCAACCTATCAGCGTGGGTTCCTTCTTTCCGCTGCTTTCCATCTTCACTCAGATGTATGCTACAGGTATTTGCTCAAACCCCGTCAGGCTGCTTGGAATGATGGTATCATCGCATTAGAGGCGGGTGCGCAATCTCATCATCGTGTCTCGCGACCACAACTGACACTGTCACTCAGGGTCGGGTCTTGGCGCGCTTAGACATATCATGAAACGCGACCCAAACATCTTCGGAGAACATCCAACGGACGCGAATCCAACATCCTTCACTCCTCTCACGGTGTATGCAAATGTCAAGTCAGTAACGTCCTCCCGTACTACTGCCTCACAGCCTGTGACTTAACTTGGTTCTGCAGGTGCTTTCTCCTTACACACGCGCACCTCGACCATATAGGCAGTCTTGTAATGGCCGCGGGCTCACTTGGCGGTGCTAGAAAACGTATATATGGCTCAGCCCAAACTCTCAGCGATCTAGAAACTATCTTCTCCGGAAGAATATGGCCCAAATTAGCCACATATGATGAGAATAACCCGTTATTCCAATTGGTGTATCACGCGTGAGTCTCATCCCACGAGTCAATCTAGTCGTCGGCCTCAAATCTACCATCCCCGCTTGGTAGCCTCCGTGCAGATGACAAATACGAGGTCATCTTCCCAGATATCTCCGTTCGCCTCATGACCGTCAGCCACGGAATGAACGACTCTGGTCAGTATGACGGCGCTTGTTTTTTCATCCGGCATGACCCTACAAACCAAGAGTTCATCTTTTTCGGTGATGTGGAGCCTGATAGCATCTCTGTCGAGCCAAAGAACATCGCCGTCTGGCGTGCAGCAGCACCAAAGATACCGCATGTCATATCCACCATCTTCATCGAGTGCTCATACCAAGCAGGGCGGCCGGACGGGCAACTTTGGGGTCACCTCAGTCCCGTGCATTTGGTACAGGAGCTGGTCACGCTAGCAACAGAGGTTGTCATCGCCCGAAAAGAACGTAGATCTTGCTCAGGATCGAGGCCGCGAAAGAAGCAACGAATGTCACCTGAAGCCCTTCATGGCGCACTTGAAGGTGTCAAAGTTTACATCATGCACTGCAAAGAGCAATTTGCTACAGAACGGCCGATCAACCACGTTATCGGTGACCAATGTCGTGAACTGCTTGCACCCCACCAATTAGGGGTCGAACTGCTCACTGCGGACCAAGGCATGAAGATTGGTGGGTCCAATCGTCCTATCGGCTTTGCGATATACTTAGTACTAACTTACGCCTCTTCAAGTGATCTGAACCTTATCCTCAACGAACTTTTCTTATTCGTTCAATTATTCGTTGAGATATTTATATTTGGAGAAATTCACCGATACCAGTCCTCACCGTGTGTATACTCAACCACTGTAGCCCTAATTTCCTTTTCCCAGTTGTCCTTTTTACCACCAGTCTGTTTTATCACCACTATAACTTACTTCATATTCGTCGACGCATTATGTACGTTTGAGCCTCTTTCTCATATACCACTCTACGTACCGTCTTTAGACGCTCACGTACTTGCACGATCGCACGAATTATACCGACGAAAACACAGAAATCACCTGCAAATAGCAAAGAAGGAATATACAGGAAACAATGTCAAGAACAAAAAGAGCCAATGCGTATTGAACACGAAGACCGTCCGCATACGTATGGAGATATCTATAATGCGTAACATCATAAGGTCAATCATGTTCGGTCATTTCGTGAGCAGGCTATGACGATGCGTAGAGCTTGACAACGCCGTCTGCGCCTGCGCTTGCCATGAAGGGTAACGTGGGGTGGAATTCAACCTCGAGAACACCCTCTTTAGCCTTTTCACGATGTGTCGTGATCTCCTGCGTGCAGGTCCGCGAACCAAGAAGATCCCAGAAGCGGATGGAGCAGTCATGCGAGCCAGACACGAGCGAGAACCCGGCTGCATCGATCGACAACGATGTTACTCCGTCAAGATGAGCAGGCATGGTGTGCGTGCAATGTCCTTCATACGCAGTCAGTGAATGTAAAGGAACCTCGGCTGGTAAACAGAACGTACCTGACAATATGTCGAATATGCGGATGAACTTGTCCTCATGGGCAGTGACGAGGAACGATATCGTAGGATGGGAGACAATACGGTTCACCTGAGTCGCAGGCGTGCCATCTTAATAAAAAACATGATTAGCGATCGTCAATAGAAGCAACGAGAATCGAGATACGCACCATATGTGGCATCAGTCGCTAATCTCGACACCTCTCTTCCAGTCTCGATATCGAACACTTTTACCACCGCGTTCTGGAATGCTACTGCCACCTTTTTCAAGTCAGACTTGATCGCCTCGACCGCAGTTGCTCCTGGCTCTTTTTCCTTTTCTTCCTCCTCGCTTCCTTCGTGGTCCAAGCCGTAGTAACCCCACGACAATTTCAAAGTTACACGACCTTCTGCAGCTCCGCTTACATCCCACACCTTTATGGAGCCCTCAGCACCACAGCTCACCAACGCATTCTCATCCCGTACAAGGGCAAGGTCCCAGACAGCATCAGTGTGCCCTACCAGCTCTCCACGCGCAGAGCTGTCATCGTATGGCGCGTATGTCGTGTGCGACGGTGAGGGCAGCGCCCAGACACGGATGCTTGAGTCGATCGATGCGCTGTAGATAAGGTGCTTGGTAGGAGAATGCACGAGACGTGTTATTGCAGCGGAGTGGCCACGCAGGGTAAGTTGGGGCTCGAAATCAGTTGTGAGGCGAGCACTAGAGGAGAGTTAGTCTCATCATGCCTGCTAGAGAAACGAGAGCACCAACGCAGAAGATGCTAAATTCGCGACATCCATGCGCCAGATTTTTACTGTGCAGTCATCTCCACCGGTTGCAAGACATAGTTCCGTGGGGTGGAATGCGAGTGCACGCACTGCATCTAGATGACTGGGAGCCAGAATCAGCACCAAAAACTTGGACTCCGAGTGGAAAAGGCACTCACTTTCTTAATGTTCGCTTAGCCTTCCATATCTTTGCTCCATCGCCTTCGCCCTCCTCAACCCCAACACCTACGCTCTCTACTTCATCTTCGTCCTCTCCAACTTCTTCACCCTCGCCCTCGCCTTCCTCGTCATCGCGCCACCGCTGCATCTTCATATGCTGTTCGTACGACGACCGCAGCTTCTCTCGCCACTCGCCCTGATCATCAGGACGGAAGATCGCCGTTAAATGGCGCGATGGCTCTGCCTCGGTGGTCGGCGCTCCCTCTTTCTCTGGAAGCGGTTGTGGTGCTGTCTGCGGGGGTGCCTGCTGTGATGGAGGCTGTTGAGGCTGGGGTAGTTGAGGTGGTTGTGACCTTTCTTGGCTCTGCACCTGCTGCTGCTGCTGCTGCTGTTGTTGTTGCTGCTGTTGCTGCTGCTGCTGCTGGAACATGCCTGTACCAACATTATTCAGAGGGCTCCCTCGCTCCAATGATCCTGTCGATGCTGGGCCTGACATCAAATTCACACCACCACTTAACATGGGGAAGTCCTTATTCCCTGGTCCAGTAACCACTGTGACCCCTGGCCCGGATTCTGGCAATGCCTTACGGGGCCGGCCATTGTAGATTGCCTCGAAGGGTTGGCTAGGTGCGGTGGGGTTCACTAATCCTGATGAGATGAGCGGACGGTTCGGGAGTGGATTCATTGCTTGCGGAGAGGTGAGGTATGAGATTTCCTGGAGACATCTAAAAGAGATTATGAGCATGGAAAGTCATCTCAAAAGGCAGTAAGAAAACGTACTGCTTGAGGTAGTCTCTGCTCCGTGCGCGGCTCTTTGGGTCGCGTCCTGGTGGCAGCTTGCCCACGGAACCAACGGATGGCAGGCCTCCGCTCCAGTTCGCGCTTGCACCAGGCCATGAGGGTTGTCGTGCTGGGGGTGCAGAGGTCCCGTTCGGAATGCGTTCGGAGGGCAGAGGGGAATCTGTGGTGGGTGCATCAATGTCAAATACAGTACTAAAATAAAAAGCACCCTAAAGACTGGGCAACACGCACCGTCACTACGTGGCGAGCTGCCACTACTCCCATCCTTGTGGCTCTGAACATCATCTTTTGCGCCTTGCAGCTGGAGCATGGCTGATTTTGATGGTTGAGCGGTACCAGTAGGCGCAGTTAGCTGCTTTGAGCTATATGAAGAACGCATGGCATGAGAACATCCGCGAATTCAACAAAAGAGGGAGGCAGAACGCGTGAGTAGGCTGGTGTGTGCACAAGGAGAACACGAACCGTTCCATACGGAGAGCATACTCTAGCATTTTTATGCGACGCATCAGGTCGAGTTTGACGTTTTCAAACGAGCGTCGCTCGCCCTCGAGGAGAGCTATGCGAGCCTATGGTGAAACATAAATACGCGACGTCCCAAACGCAAGAAATTGAGCAACGAATGCAGATATGCAGACTAAATGCATTTTGATGATGCGAAAAGCCGAAAGTAAAAAAGTGACTCGCGGTGGGACGCATATGCACATAGGAATGAGGAGAACACTCACCCTCATTTCAGCTCTCTCAATCTCCCATTCGTTTCTATCACGCTCGTAACGACGCCATTCTGTCTGCAAAAAGTGCAAGACACTGGAAAGGTTGAAATCTTGACCATTCTGGGGGGGTGGGGGTGGAATACCCTGGGACTGCCCTGGCTGGCCCTGGGGTTGTTGCTGACCAAGTTGACCCTGCTGCTGCTGGCCTCCTTGATTTTGCTGGGGCTGAGACACCTGCAAGGTGCCGAGCATAGGGATTTGGATTGTCTGTGGATGGTGAATGTTGGGCGTTGAAGAGATTGACTGTGTACTCTGGTTGTTTTGATGGTATAATGCAGTTAGAGCGTCGCGCTGCTGTGAGCTATTGCTGCTATTATTTTGCGATAGAAGGCCGTTAGGAGGAGGAGATTTTGAAGTGGCAAGGTTGCTGATCCGTGAGCTTGTGAGCATATCGGCGGTGGGTTCCTACAATTCTGCTTTCCAGTGTTTGCAATCAACAAACAACCGCCTCAGTGTGAAGGCGGAAACGACAAGTTCAACGTCAACGACGACGACCACGACGGTAACAGCAACGGCCACGACAATGGAAGTACGGAGAAAGGCGAGCCCACGAATCTTTTCACTCATTCACAAAGCGCTTTAGCACTATTAATGCCGCTATAGTATATATTCATGCATAAACTTATTCAAACATCCGACCTTCGGGTTCTGGCTAATTCTATCTTTGTGAGCATTTCCAAGGAAATTTGATGGCCTGTGTACGTTGACGCTACTCTTCAACATCGAGCGCTTTACGCAGCCCCGTGTATGGCACATAAAAACTCGAATTTCTGATAGCCCTCCAACAAAACTCGATGACCTACGTCGGAGCGGAAGTCAACGGGATGAGGGAACTGAGCGCTTGGCGCCCGACAATGATACGTCACTTTTACTCATCCGATCTCATGCAGCCCGCAGGGAAGGCCGAGCGATAACATCTGATGCTGAACAGACTTCTGCTTCCCTTCTTGCCTGGTTCTTGTAGCGCGCAAGAACTATGTGTTAAGATACTCAGGGCAGTGTATAGTCGACCTTACAAGTCATGTACTGATTCAGCACTGCACCGCAGGCTACAACTGAATGGAAAGATCGTTGATGACCATGGATGATACAAGAGACGGATTGTAAATGGTCGGTCAGGTGCAGAGTAGATATCATCCTTCTATTTCTTTCCCGATCTAAAGAACAAGATCAATCACTGGATAAACCAAGATGAAGATTGTACTCTACTCACTTCTTGATCCCGCCACCAGGAGGACCACCTGTCAAAATCATGAGTTTATTCTGACTTGAGGTGCTTCGGATACTCACCCTTGATAGCTACACATCAATGGATCGCTTAGATGCATTTCTTGTAGTTTAGCGAGTAAAAACGTACCTTTGTCCCTTGCAGCCTTCACAGCAGCCTCTTCGGCCTTCTTTTTTTCCTTGAAGGCCTTGTCATCTTCATCCTCTTCTTTGGATTCCTTCTTTGGTGCCTAGCGATTTCAAAGGAGGCTTTAGTATGACTTTGAGGCAGTTGAAAAACCAACCTTGAGAGGCTTCAGCTTGCCACCTTGTCTCGACATCGTTGAACCAGACACAGACCGTATGTCAGATACCTATGATAAGGGCGATTGTGAACTCCACCCAAACTTGTCCGTGGCCGGTCTCGGCGGTCCCCCGCCGGTCGCAACTCCAAAGAGTACTAAGCACTTCTGAACTGTTTTGGATGAATGGATGGTTGCATTGTATCACTGATTACCACAAGGAGAACATTCAAATTGAACAAAAAGATATCTATACAATAAGGTCCATCTGGTGAATCGCCAATCCAGCTGGCATCAGGTTCTATGATAGGTCCCAGGTACCGTCCTAGGTCCAGCTCTTACATAAGACTAATCTTAGATGAAGAAACACCTTCCATTTGGGTATACAATGGTTTTGTGGTAGCCAGCAACGTCGAACAATAGCCTGAGGATATGGTATGGTGTGGACCGTGTGGTACAGCGTTTATATGACCTTGCAGCGTCAGCTCCACTTTTGCATCTTCAACTTGAACTCCCTCGACTGCGTCGAGCGACGTTCCAATCATTTCTGTTTTTCGTTAATCGAGCAGGGTACTCGACAGTGTTTAATATCATTCATTCATTTCACACAGCGCTTCGAGTTTATCTAAACATGTTATTTGTTCACGTCCTTACAGCCATAACACTGGCAGGCTCAGTTGCGGCCATCCCTTTACGTATCTTACCGCTTCAAAGTAAGCGGGACGTCAACCCTGCGCTAGTCCCATCCTTCGGTTGGCAATCCGGTGTTAATCCAGATGGTGAGTACAAAATAACAGTACCCTTCGACATCGTGCACTAACACGTTCTAAAGGCACCGGAAACTGTGACGGTGCCGTGGACGGCACTAATGGGAAACCTATCCTAATACCTTGCTCATGCCCGCCAAATTCAACGTTCTTCCTTGCCGTAAGCCTTCCAGTCAAACGTCGTGTTGTCTACTGCTGAACACAGGCTCCTATGGTAGAATCTCAATAAAAACGTGGCGGCGGGCTTTGTGACAACAAATCCCACTGTGAAGGTCTCTTTCCCAACAGATGACAGTACCGCATCTCAGCTTGCTCGTTTAAATGCAGCAGCGGTCACTCTGCAAAACCTTGAAGGTCCCGGTGTTGGTTGCCCGATTTCTTCCACCACTTTTTCTGCACAAGGAAAAGCGATCAGTGCAGGGACATCTACCAACGGAAATTCAAGTGCTGCAATGCCTACGGCTGCGTCAGCAATACCTGCGGGTTTCGGTGTCTCAACGAGCAGTTCTGCCACGAGCGCTGCCGTCCCGACGAGCATCACTTCAAACAACAGTTCTGCTTCACCCACTGATGAGCAGATTGCCACACTGGCACCGCCCCTTGGATGGCAAGCTGGAATCAACCCAGACGGTAAGCAGTAATTCTTGAAAGCCTGCTAATGATAAGAAGCTCACGTAAATATTATCAGGCACTGGTAACTGTGATGGTGCTGTCGATGGTACAAACGGGAAGCCAATACTCATCCCATGCCAATGTCCCCCTGATCAGACGAACTATATCGCGGTAAGCTATTCATTTCATGCTCAATTGCTCTTAGGGAACTAACATTCTTCTAGAACCTGACTGCTAATGTCCGCGCGGGCCATGTTATTCTCAATCCCTCGGTGCAACTCACATTCCCAACCGACAACAGCACAGCCTCGCAAAGCGCGCGTCTGAATGCTGCTGCTGTTACGTTACAGAACTTGAATGGTGCTGGGCAGGGCTGTCCGATCGTGTCGACCACGTTCAGTGCACAACAGAAGGCAATTAATGCCGAAAACACCTCTTGAATGATTATTGTAGAGAGATTAACCTCTTGGGCATCCATAATGTAGCAAGTAGCCAGTTTTCGTTATCGTTGTACAATCATATTGCTTGGGCGTTGGCCAGAAAAAGCAACTGTAGCCTCCGAACTCCGCTCCGAGTCCAATGATCCATCGACTCTCACTCTCCAGGCTGTTATAAAATCCACCCTTCAACGTTCAACAATAGTCGTTTACTTGAGCGGAATTGAGTCAAGTTGAAATTCCTGGACCATCATGGACGTCATGACTTGCACCATCGACACAGAATGGCGTGTCGTAATGTCTCGAGAATGGGATGTGCGTTCTTGCCTCGCCTCCACTCAGTGGGACACAGTACAACGTGCATGTTGTTGACGCGTTGCTGCGATTCAGGTTCTCGGACCTTTCCCCATCCACGCTAGGGAGCAGCACTTCCTTTCTCCTGCGTTTCCCCTTGACTGTGGGCAATTATATTGATTGTATACTATGAGCTTGAGCTAATTACGATCTGCTATGGATTTCGAAGTATCTAAGAATATAGATTTGACCCGTACCTATCCATCTGCTTATGCTGATGGCGGATATGTCTCTTGGTCAAAAGCCAACTCGGATGAACACGGAAATCTCAAAGTATCTCATCCCAATATTCGGTGGGAGCAGCTTCGTGCGACCGAAGGATGGGCAGCACTGCAGCATCACAACGTCCTCCGGACGTATCTCACCGTCTATCCTCCATATTCTAAGCAAGGAATCATCGAGGCCGATCCACGTCTGCGTGTCGAGTGCCTCCAGGGCGCATATTTTTCCATCTTACCAGGTGATGAGACAACTTGGGCAACACATGTCTCAGAATGGCACATGGGGAATGTTTACGCTCTCGAGCGTGCCCCTGTACAGTTCGTCTCGCTCCCAACGTCTCCATGTAGAGATAAAACCACCCGATATCAAGTAGTTCTTGGTGGATCTTACGAGGTGATCTGACTTCTTGAAACCTTGGAATATCATCTGAGTTATCCACTATCAATAGATAAGACTCTTTGGTGACCCTCGGTCATACAACTCAGAACATCCAATTCTAAGCATCAATTTTACTATCTCAATTGATGCCCTTCCATCACTGGAAACATCGCCTTATCTGGTGACACCCGTCTTACATGCACCTGCTCACGATGTCATACCGGACTTCATCTATGGCCGGCCGTTCTCCTCGACGCTAGGAATAGGGCTTCGAAACGTTGACTTTTGCCGCAACACCAAATCAATATCAGGATGGTGGACAGTAGTGTCGGCTGTGATTCCACCTTGCGTAGGGCTGGGGCTTTCATTATGCAATCTTTCAACGACAACACGGCTTGCCCCGACTCAAACACACATACTAACGCTGGAGTTCCAACCCGGTCCGGGAGTAATCCCTATCGATATCACAGAGCTTCCGGTCGACATCACGATCTCTCCCTTCCACGCTGAATCGGCATGCGGTGATGTTGATGAGCAAAGAATTTTCAGAGTCAATGTTCCTATCAGACACATTCCCATGTGGACTTCGGTCAGTTACACTGCCATAAGAGCGACGTACAATTTAGGCTTTAGCAATCCTACTATATTCTTGGTACTTCCCCCTCGATATCCCGATAAAGAAGGTGAAGGAGGGCTGAAAGAGCCAATTCTAGCGCTGCGTATGTTGTAATCTACACCTGATGGCTTTCAGTTTTCCTGGATGTTGACCCCCTTTTCCACTCAATATTTCTAGATGGTGCAGGTGTCGACATCATCAACCAAACATTCTGGGCAGACAGCCTTCCTCGGCAAGACAAGGCATGGGTGATCATTCCGTCTGGCCGAACTTCCTGGGTAATTCGCATTCCAGCGCCTACTTTAGTATTTGATTGACGGATGGCAGGGCCTCGACTGGCATGGTCCTTCTGCTGCTGATGCTTTTGCCGCGGTGACAGCCCTGCACGATATACTATGCATAGGATTCGTGGACTGGATTTATCCTCGAGATACAAAGCTTATTGTCGTGGGTCATTCGAATGGAGGGCAAGGAGCATGGTACATAGCAAGTAGATGGCCGGACAAGGTGAAAGCCGGTATGTTCAACAGACTAAATTTGAGGCTTCAATCAAAGTGACAGCGAAGCACAGTCGTAGCTGCTGCGGGATACATCAAGTCGCAGGCATATGTCCCATGGACGATGTCGAGGTATGATGAAATTTCGTCTCTGTGTCACAGCATCTGGGCTGACCAGCCTTTTGGCAGATTCGCTCACTTCATTGACCCAGCGCTCCGAGCTGTTCTAGAAACATCGCTCCTACCAGACGACAATGACCTATTCCTTTCCAATCTCGCTCACACGCCTGTGCTCGCAATCCATGGGTGCGTCTGGTAATGATTCCTTCACGATAAAACTGCTCAACCACCGACCAGTGGCATGGATGATAATGTCCCGTCGTGGCACACTCGTGAAGCAGTGAGCGTGCTCAGGGAATGGAATCCAGACGCAGACGTCACGTATGTATTTATGCTGGTTTTTGGTCCCCAATGACCTCTCATTGTCTTGAAGGTACCACGAGGAGCCTGGTCAGCCTCACTGGTGGTTCGAGGTGCTTAACAATGCTCGTGTTCAGGCGTTTCTTGATCGCGTTTACTGTTCTTCGTATGATGCACCAAAAACTAAATGTCGTAAGTTCACACTTACTGTTGCTGTCCCCGCGGAGAGCGGGCCGTTGGGAGGTTGGCGGGTGCACGCCCTCGAAGTGCCTGGGAGGTCTGTAAAATTATCCTATCATCCTATACACAAACTTGACGCAAACGACATCTACCTCAGACTCGGTCGTTTGGAAGTATGCGAAGATGATGAAGGAGGAGTGAATGTCAAGGCCTCAAACATCAGTGTTGTTTCCTTCGACCTGAGCAAGGCTTCTGTCCATAAACTTGTGATCAACAGTCAGAATATCCTGCACGCCAGTATGGAAGCTAGAACAATCTGGCTCGAGCAAGACACTAATCGCAACTCAACCGGTTGGAAGGTAATGTCTACTTGCCTTGATGATCCGAACATCCTTCATGATCTATTGGAATAGGTAGTAGATTCCTATGTGGAGAACTTCCAACAACCGTATGGACGTGCTCAGGCTATTCTCAGCGCAGACGGAATCATCGATATCGTGATTCCATCACTACATCACTCCTCCGAGCTGTCTGCAGCCTTGCGGATTACTCACAACCTACGAACTTACCATCTGCTTGATGCGCGAATAGTTTCTGCACATGAAGCAGAAAATGGTCTGGTATGCGGGGGTAATATGGTTGTCATTGGTTGCGCAGACTCTTTGCTTGTTAAAGATCTTCTAAGGCGCAGTCAGAGTGAATGGTCTTATGAAGGAGGAGCTTGGGTTTTGAACAATAAAAAGTTTAACAC